TTTTTTAACGTTTATTTTATTTTTGGGACAGAGAGAGACAGAGCATGAACGGGGGAGGGGCAGAGAGAGAGGGAGACACAGAATCGGAAACAGGCTCCAGGCTCTGAGCCATCAGCCCAGAGCCCGATGCGGGGCTCGAACTCACAGACCGCGAGATCGTGACCTGGCTGAAGTCGGACGCTTAACCGACTGCGCCACCCAGGCGCCCCAGGGTATGCTTTTTAGACCGTAGTTCGTTCTTTGTAGAAAACGTGGATTTCTCCTGTTGTGCCCTCGGCCACTTTGTGTTGATTTAGGGTTTATCCTCTGCCCATTTCTACAAAGAACTTGAGGCTATGATGAGGTCTCCATGGAGTCTGGGCAGTCTCTGTTGCCTCTGATCACTGTGTGATCCTGAGAATTAATGCTGGACGATCAGGGAATTGAAGAACAGAGAGTAAACCACACTGACCGTATTTAACTTGCCTCAGCCAAAGATTTATAGCTTGGCTGTTGACATGGTTGGGACAGCGCTGCTGAATTTCCTGAGTATCCAAACAAATGTCTTTGTTGCCGAGCTGTGACATAGCTACCAAAGTAGACACCATCCATCTAGCAGGCCACTAAATTGCCCTGCTTACCAAGAAGTGAGCTGTTAAGCTTTCTCTTTACATATCTGCTACCTCTTCAGGTTGTGGTCTGTGCATGACCTGTGTTTCCTTCTAGTCGTTAAGGAAACTGTGCAGAGTAGGAAATCCCCAGGATTTATGTTGGAACGCCCGTTCTTCTTGCTAGTTCCGTGACCTTGGGCAAGTCCCTTCATCTCTCTGAAACCCACCCTCCCGATCTGTGAATGGGGGAATTGCATGCTTACCTCCTGATAGAATTGGAAATAATGTAAGTGCATTACTTAAGGGTCTTCTGGTTGCAAGCTGTGAATCCAGCATTGAGTAGTGTGGTCAAAACAGTCACAGCGAAAGGGAGTATTTGTTGGGAGAGCTGAGTAGCCGTGTCTCGGGGAGGGTGAAACTGTGGCAGCCCCGTGGGCAGCAGAGGTCTTGAACCCTCGAGCTCTGTCCTTGACATGATGCACACCCAGTGTCCCAGACTTCCGGTTTCTCAGTTGAAGTCTCTGAATCCGGAGAGAAAGTCGAACTGGTTCAGTGTGGGTCCAGGGGGCTGGCTCACTGACAGAGGGGGCTTCCAGGGTCTTGCCCCTGTGTTTTAGGGACAGTTTTCAGATGAGAGAGGGGAGGAGGGGTGAGCTGGGTGGTCATTCCAAGGGCTGTGGAGGAACGACTGCGGAGTCAGACACAGGTAGGTGTGTGGCTGTCATACTCTCCTTCGGGGTGAGAGACCTCCCGTCTGGGCTGTGTCTTGTTCCTCGTCTGGGGGGCAGGAGGGAGGGTGGGGGTGGCTGCTTGTCGCTCCCTTCTGGGCAGCCTGGCCCTCTGCCTCTACACTGAGGAGATCCACTGGTTTGTGAGCTCTGCTGAGGGAGCCAGATGACTTCATTCTAATGGGGCATGATTCAACACAGGGGAGTAGGTGAATGATGAAATGGGACCCAAATGGCTCTGAAGAGTTCATTTATTTAACATGGGTGAGCTATTTGCTTCTAGGAAGACGTTGACTCACTCTGACTTCCATTATGCAAAATACCCACAGGAATCTCTGCTCTTAAGATCCATATCGGTCCCTGTGTTCTCCGCTTACCCATTTCGTGCAGATTACCCATTTTCTTTCAGATTCCTGAAAGTGCCGTGTTTGCGCCTCTCTCTGTGCCTTCGCACGTGCTGTTCCATCTGCCTGGAGTGGCTTTTGTGTCCTTGTCTGCTGGGTGACTCCTAAACATCCCTAAAGGAGCCCCTGTGGTGTCGCCTTCCCTGCCCCTGCTTAGCAGTGACGTCTCCTCTTCCTCCCTGGCGCTCAGGACTTTGCACGCCCATCCTTGTGTTGGCGTTATGGGATCCCCATAACACCCATCACCATCACCATAACACCCGAGTGGTGCCCCTCACCCAGGCCCTTACACACCGTGGATGGCACCAGTCTGTGGCAGCATTTGGTCTGTGCCAGGTACTGTTCCTGGCTTGGGACATGGCTGCCCACAAGGGGCCATCGGACCTGTCGGCAGATGGTTGGTACGCTTGCCCCGGGGTGAAAGTGAACCAGTGCCGTGGGTGCTGGAAGAGGGCATTTTTCTCTGTCAAGCAAGGCTTCCTGGTGAGAATGTGGCCTAAGCAGACCCCGTAAGGTGCTTGGGAGTGTGTCAGTGGAGAGGGGTGAATGATGGTCTCTGCGGGGCGGGAGCGGGGTTTGTTCCTCTGGAGCTCGGACGGAGGGGTTCCTCCGTCCCACTGAGGAGGAAGAGCGGGGGGAAGGGAAGTGCAGGTGTGGGCAGCTGGCAGGTGGGGGTGGGAGGTTCGAAGAGCTGCCGGCGAGAAGGCCGGAGGGGAGCTGAGCCAGGCATCCGGGCCCTCGCCTTGCAGTGGGTGGTCCTCTGGGGCCCCGCCCACCACCCTCCGGTTAAGACACGGGGCCTGGGCACACACACTCCACATCTGGAGCCCACTCCATCCGACAGAAGTCCGTATTTACCCGTTTCTTTTCCTAGCCCTTCTTGGCTGGCTTTGCAGTTACAAACGTAAGCACAGACTCTGACCGCCACTTGTCAGCTGGACGGCCTCAAACAAATGTTCCCTCTCAGACAGTCAGTTTCGTCATCTGAAAAATGGGAGGATTAACACGCTTCCCTGGTTTCCATCAGACACGATCTGTGTCCCAAGTGCCTAACATAGCGCCAGAACGTGGGAACAGAAGTTATGGCTGACGTTATCGAGTGTTTATCTTGTACCGGTCATCACCCTGAGAACTTTGTAGAGATGAGCTCATTCGGTCTCCTTCACCACCCTGTGAGCGACGTAGAATCATTACCTTCCTTGAGAGGTGTGCATATTGAAGCACAGAGAGGTTGAGGAACTTGCTGAAGGTCACACAGTAAGGTCACACCCTCCTAACTATCCCTGCCCTTCATGGTAGGTGCTCAAGAAGCAGTAGGTTTGTTTTGACGTTTGTTTATTTTGAAGAGAGAGCGCGAGCGAGGGAGGTACAGAGAGAGAGGGGGCAGAGGATCCGAAGCGGGCTCTGTGCTGACAGCAGAGAGCCCAGCACAGGGCTCGAACTCACAAACTGTGAGAGCGCGACCTGAGCCAGAGTCGGACGTTCAACCGACCGAGCCGCTCAGGCAAGAGGCAGTAGTTTTTTAAATTTTCTTCATCATTGTTGGCTGCCTTTCATTTGGTTGACAGTGACAGTGATTCCCTGCCAAGCGCCCCAGTGCGTCGCATCCATTCTGGGGCATGGATGGCTGGACTGAAGAGCTCAGGCCTCAGGGCCTGGCTGCCTGGGTCTGCACCCTGCCTCTCCACCTGACCTTGGCTGCCGTCAGCCCTCTGTGCCGCAGCTCCCTCATCGCAGAAATGAGGAGGGTGGTGACACCTCAGCTCCCTGGGTCGTCGGGAGGCCTGAGAAAATGCCCGGGGAGCACTGAGCACAGTGGCTGACACTGTCTTGTTATCCTGTTCAGTTCTTCCCCGGGCTCTTCTCGGGGACCCTCTGTTGACGCACATGGTGTGTACAGGTGGGAGCCGAGAGAATCCCACGTGACACTGTTGCTGTGCACAAAAGGCATATGGGAGCTCCCTGTGCCAGGGACATGTGGCATGATTTACAAAAGGGCCCGACATTTCTAGCAGTCTGGGTACCTAACTTCTCATGACCGAGCTGGTGGTTTAGCATTTGGAACCCTTAATTAGCAGGTGGTGCCCTTGCCTTGTCTTGTTCAGGGCGAGGGGCCTGGTAGTGTTCTCGCGGGTCAGGGGCCCCTAACCTTTCCTTGCCCTCTGCATCCCTGCGGCCGGCAGTCTGCGGAAGCCAGGGATCTCTTCCCTGGAAAGGTCTTCCAATGCATAAAATATATGCACAGGATTATAAAGGAAGCCAATTACTTTGAAATTCAGTCATCAGACTATTGAAAAAAATCTGCTTTGGAAATGGTGCTTCTTTATTAACACATTAAATGACGGGGTCTCATGATGAGTATAGTGACTGCTGTAGTTCTGAAGCGATGGTAAAATGAATATTTTAAGATAACTTGAGATGCCTGTAACACATACAGGGTCCCTGCGTTTCTTTGGGATGACACTGTCACAGGAAAACACCAACACCGCTGTGGTGCAGTAACCGTGCTCCTTCGGGTCCAGTCAGGTTTCCACCTGTGTCCCAGGCGGTATCTTAACTTTAGGAGAAGGCATAGGTCAGTGGGAAGTACAAGGGCTGCTTGCTGTTCTAGTCTCCCCACGACCTGAGCGCCTCCCTCGAGCATTTAGGGAGCATCTCGTCCATGCAGGACGCTGCCCCAGTCTGCGCATGTTAACTTTATTTAGCGTTCTTCCCTTGTCTTGGAATAATTTCAAATTTATAGGCAGGTTTCGAGAATAAAGGATTTTACCTTTCCTGAGGCCTCTGAGAGCAAGTGGCCCACGAGAAGCCCTGTGCCCTCTGAGTCCCCTAGCGTGTATTTCCCGTAAGCGGGGACACTGACCTGTGTGCCATGGTGCAGCCGTCAAGGGCAGGGACTAGGCCGACTCCCCCCCCCGCCTTCTAATCCTCAGACTCACGGGTGCTTCACTGCTCGTCCCGTAAAGCCCTTTGTGGCCAGAGGATCTGATTCGGGATCGCACGTTGCTTTGTCGTGATTCTTTAGTCTTCAGTCTGGGGCAGTTTCTTGGTCTTACCCTTGCCTTTCATGCCCTTCATAATTTTGAAGCGTCCAGGCCAGTCATATGTAGAATGTCCTTCGGGTTGGGTTTGTCTGACGTTGCTGGGTTGATCGGGTTCAGGCAGGTGTATTTGGTGGGAATATCCTCTCATCGCAGCCTGTTGGTCCCCAATTTAGATTTGTCTCATTACCGGCCACGCTGACTTCGACGGCTTTATGTAGGTGTCTTGACCATGTGGGTACTCTTTTTCCTTTGTAATTGGTAAGCATTTTGAGGTGTTTTGAGCCTATGTAAATACCCTGATATTCTTCAAACTTTCACCCATTGGTGTTAGCTGGCTACCTCAGGTCACATAAGTAGGTTCCAGAGATCCCCCTTAGGTCCCTTTGTCATCACTCTGTTCCGGATGCCTTTAGAAGCGGCTCACTTGGCCTTTTCTGTTTTAATGTAAGTCCCTTGTCCCTTTTGGTTGATGAACTTCTATTCTCCGGAGCAAGAGCAACGTGGAGAGGCGTTCTCTGTGGTGTTGCGAAAACGATGACCAGCCGCTTGGAGGGGAGGCAGTTTCACGACTGGTGGATCGGGTGACAGCGATGATCCTTTTATAGCAGCCATGCAGTGTTGGAAGCACAGCACTCGGCTTTGTTCCGAGGGACGTGGCGGGCAGTCATTCCCCACTCCTCCTGCAGGTGGTGCTCTGCGACCGTGGCCTGCCCGACAGCCTGGCACCCGGGATCACCTCCGTTTGGATTTAGAAACTACCCACATATGTTTGCATAACGTCAGGATGGACTCTTTTACAGTTCTCCCCTTAATGTCAGATGCCCGTTGTCATTTCCAGGAAAAGCAACAATTAGACTATGAAGAGCTGATTCAAGTCTTAAAGAAGGAGCAGGACATCTATACTCACCTGGTAAAATCTCTGCAGAACCCAGACAGGTAAGGTTACTGTTTGGACCTCACACTCCTACGTAGACACACGTATTCCGAATAAATACGGTTGGCGTCTGAGGCAGCAAAGCCATCCTGGTTTGGTCAGGAAGCTTAGATGATGCTTGGATGATGGTTGCCTGGCTTAAATCGGGTAAACCTATTTTATATCGAGAAGCGTCTGACTTTGGGGTTGATTTCTTTCATTCTAATGAACTCAGGATAAAAATAACATAACAATAATTTCTCAGTAATCTATAGTGCCTTCTTAATAGATACAGAAATACTCCCATGTGTGTTACCTCGTAACGATTGTTACCCTATTTCCCATAAGGCCACGAAGACTGAGGGAGGTTGAGTGTCTTTTCCAAAGTTACACAGGTGGTGAGTGACCGAACCCAGGGGCTCATACAAGGTTCTGGAGTGACTTGTGTCTTTATAGAACTGCTGAAATGATTTGGTGCCCGTGAGGTGTGGTGACGAGAGCCCCCTGCGGGCGAGTGCTCTTGTTCTGTCCCGGCTCTGTGTCCGCGGGCAGGTGGCCCAGTCTGTCCGGGGCCTCTGTTCGCCAGTGCAGGATTGGCCTCGGTGATTTTTCACCTCACAAAGAACTCTCTCTACACAGTAGGGGTAGTTACGGGTGAGAGGATACGGTTCATTTCTAAACTATACAGAAGTGAGGGAGGTGGGTTGGGGACACTGAGGGAGCGAGAGCGGCCATGGCTGCCCGGTGGTCAGGGCTGGGCTGTGAGTAGATGGGCAGGGGCTCATTGTATTAGCTTTCTTCATTTGTGTCTGTTTAAAAGTCTCCATAATAAAAAGTTAAGGTGTTTGTCCCCTTACTGCTCCTTCTAAGACTTTCACTCTGGCTGGAATGGTCTTCCATTCCTTCCTTCACCAGGGCCTGGGCCGTGTGCCCTCCTGCTTCTGCCTTCGCACCGTTTCCACAGCCTGCCTTTGTCTCCCAGAGGTCCTTGAGGATTCATCTGGAGGGCTACCCTCGTGAGGAGGCTGTCCCCAGGATGGTTGTCGTCGTGAGTTTTCTGCCCTCGCAGCTGCCTTTGCCACCCTCTGGGCACGTGTCTGTAACTGGCCTGTCTCCTCATGGGGACCCTGCGCCCCCTCCGGGTGGGATGCTGTGTTGCTCAGCTCCATTTCCCCCGTGCCTGTCACCGCGGCTGGGGCGGAGTAGCCACGCAGGAAGCGTGAGTGGACGGGCCCCCCCCACCCCCCGCCTGGTCTTCTGAGAGATGACATAATTTTCAGATTTGTTGATCTGAAATGAATTTAGAGAAAATGGAAACATGCCGATGAGATTCTGGGAGTAGGCGTCACTCTGTAAAAGTGGGCCTTTTCCAGAAGCCTCAGCAGCTCGGAGTTTCTACAGGGGGCGGGGCCGGTGAAGCTGGGAAACTCGGGGGCAGCGGGCCAAGTCGGGTTACCTGGGCAGCTTCTCTGGGTCCTGGGCCGCGTGGGGTGCTTGGCACTATCTCAGCTTTTACTGCTCCCTTCCAGAAGCACCTTCCCCTGCCCCGGCATGATGGCCTGTTAACAGTGTCTCCAGATAGTGCCACATATCTCTTGGGAGGTTAATTGTCCCCAGATGGGAATCACTGCTGTAACTCCCGAGAATCAGAAAGTTTGGCTTATAAATACCCTCTTTTCGTTCAGGAGTTGCTCAGGTGTATGGAAAGAGGGAAACGCCTGTCGAGTTGTCTCGTGTGTGTTGGGCCCTGGGCTGAGCTCTTTCCCGTGCAGCTTTCGTTTCACCCTCAGAACAGTCCCGAAGGAAAGGTATCAGCCCCATTTCACAGATGAGGAAGGCAGGGCTCCGGCAGTTTGACCGACCTGCCCGAGGTTCGGAGCGGTGGTGCCGTCGGGAGCTTGGCTCCGGCTCCTCGTTTCTGCCTCTCCCTGCCTCCATGTTGCAGAAGGAGGAATGCGCAGGGCTTTTGTTTCTTTCCAGGCGAAACACCTTTTGTTCCACCAACTCCTCACACCTGGAAAAGGCCCTGGAGTTAGGGGAACATAAATGACAGGCACAGGAGCAACAGCGGTGTACTTTTCACCCTGTCAGGAGACGGAGGGGGGAGTGCAGCCGGTCGCGTTCCTCCGCCCTCATCGCAAGAGCTGCGTGGAAACACGCTCCTTTTTTTTCCTCCTGCTGAAATGTCTCTGCAGCACGGCTGCATCCGAGCGAGTGCTGTGACACCTCCGTGAGGTTTTCCATCAGCCTTACAAATTGATCATTATGATTGTCTTGAAATGGAACTAGGCACAGGTTGCTGGTAGGGCCCCTTCCCTTGCAAGGGGGCTGCTTCACAATGAACCATCGTCAAAGCAGCGAGCATAGACGATTAGACATAACGGTTTATTTTCCTTCCGATGTATGTTGATTTATGTGCGCGGTTCGAGGGGTGGAGCTGGAAGAAATCTCTGAAGGAGAGTGGGGCTTGAGTCTCAAGCCCAGACGTTTGGAGCAGTTGCTGCTAATTCTAACCCTTTGGGGGCTCTGGATCCCTTTTGAAAAATCTGATGAAAGCTCATGGGCCCTCTCTTTAGAAAAATCCACATGTTCTTAAGTATTCGCATGCGGTTTCAAGGTGTTGATGGACCCTCTTAAGGAACCAAAGGTCAGACGCTGGACAGAGAGTGATGTATTTCTCAGTATTTGAAAGAGGAGGCTTTCTGATGTGTTAAGGTGTTTTGCTAGTCTCAAAAAATGTTCATGTATTTTGTTTTAAGTTTATCTGTTTATTTTGATAGAGAATGTGTGAGTGAACGGGGGAGGGACAGAGGGAGAGAATCCCAAGCAGGCTGCGCACTGGCAGTGTGGCTTGGAAATGTGGTGCCCCAAAATATGTTCATGTACTTTGACCCAGCAGTTGCACTGCTGGGAATTGGTCTTAAGAAACGAACCTGAATGTGAAAAGGCTTTAGGCACGGAGATGTTCAGTGAAACATCGCTTATGTTATTCAGATGTTGGCCGGGGTCTCTGTTCCTCTGAGAGCTGGGGGCACTCAGTTAGATCCCTGCCAGGTGCCACGTCAGTAGGAATCCAGAGCCCATCTGGTGGGTCTGTACTGCCCCAAGTCAGTGGCCACGAGCCATGGGACTATTTACATCTGAATTAAGAAAAATGCGGCATTCCGTTCCCCAGAATGTTAGCCACATTTCAACTGCTCAGTAGGCACATTTAGCCCGTGGCTACCATATTAGTGCATAGACAGAACACTTCTAACTTCCAGAAGTTCTGTTGGACAGCAGATTCCTGCAGATTCTGGGAAGTGTGCATTTTCATGGCCTCTTGTGAATTCTGGGCTGCTGGTGTCATGCAGGCTCTCTGTGCAGGTCACACTGTGTCACACAGACCCAGATGTGAGACTTGACACGCATTCACTCCACTATGCTTCTGTGAATGGGGCTGACCTATCACAATGGAGTTCTGTTGGTCCCTAAATTGGTCCTTCTCTTCCTCCCATTATCAACTCCCTTTCTTTTTCTTTCTTTCTTTCTTTCTTTCTTTCTTTCT